AGATGGCTTCCAAAGATACACCTCAAACTTGTGGAACATTCTGGAATGAAATTTTCTGTTCCTGTAACCGGGTTTCGTATCAATCTAAAAGTAAATTGGATAGGCTCGGATGTTTCTAATGTTGGACAAGAACGATAGTAAACTCTTAAATAACTTATTACACACTAACAGGAAAAAGAACATGGTCGGAAGTATCTCTCTGTAGATGTTGGATCTAGTGTAGATAATATATTTATAGGGCCCGCTATATATTGAGAAGTTTCTATATAAATACAATTTTGTCTATCTCTAGATTACCTACACACTAATTTAAACACTAAAACAATTACTTAGGTATTATTTAAGCAAACTTAGGTATTAAGTGTGGGAGAGCTATGCTTCCGCACGAATGGATCGGCTCGACCGGAGCGATACCACGGCCTCACAAAAAACCGGCGTGAAACAACCACAGCGTTATGTTTCGCTGTGTGAGTGAGGTTACCGGAGGCCCAATCCTTTCTTTTCCCCAATCTCTCCCCAGTCCCTAAATCTCCAAATCCCTAATGCCTAAAAGGTCAGCAACACATTCGTAACTCCTCCGTTGCGGGTGTCCATGGGCGGCGCTGATTGCTTACCATCAGGTAATCCGTCTGCTCGTTTGTCGACCTATCACATAAAAAAATATCTTTAAAAGACATATTGTAAAAAAACAACGATATTGTACAGCATTAGTGTTTTGGCTGACCTTCAGCACCCAAGATATCTCTCTCTCTCTCTTTCTCTATCTCTCTCCGAAACTCTAATCTCCAAACTGCCGGCGACCCGCTGGTAACTCCTTAAGTGTCGCGGGCGCCCATGGGCGCCACCGTTTGCTGATATTGATTGCATCTAATCATTTGACGTATTGTCCCACAAAACACAATTGGGCTTACGAAACAAAAGATATTTTCATAAAATTTTATTCAAAGACTTTTGTTGTACATCGTTACTTTTGTATTCATTCGAGTAGTAATTTTGTTACCAATTTATAATGCCAGTGAGATGTGTTGTGATTATCTGTTTCCCAATTGATGGCCAGCTTGATAATGCCAATTGCTATCGTACAGTCAATAAAGTGGCTCATTGTGGTGCACACAGATCGCCATTTTGTAGATCAGAGAGGAACGATTTTTGGTCGAAGGATACCAACACTGTTACTCTTTTTGAGGTTTCCGGAGATAAGCTTGTCTCGAATCCATTTTTGCAACACTACTTTAGAAAATTACAAATCCCACAAAATAACCTATTTATTCCATCCAATAAAAAACATAATAAAGTAAGCATGGACAAAGAAATATTCACATAAACAAACCCTAATTTAAAATTTATACAATTCCCACGAGAGAAACCAGGTTTTATTAGAATATTCAATGGGGTTACATACTTTTTGATATATGGAGCGTCAATTTTTACGGCTGCGAGGAAAATAATGCAATATATCAAGTACAGATTTCATCCAGACAGGTTTTACAACGCTCATTCGAAACAATGGAGCTTGGAGGCTTGTGTGGAAGCCTATTCAAGTCGGGAGCCATGCATATTTATGACTAGCCGAGAAACTAGCCCGGTTGTGGTGGACGAAAGGCTAAGATTTGCCTATTTGAACGTCAATCATTTTAACGTAGACTTTACATTATTTTAATTGGAAAATTTACATTGTTTTAGAATTTTAATCCAACGACATTGTCTATTGTATGAAAGAGAAGGCTTTTGTTCTTTTGTAAAGAATCTACTGATAAGATTCAGATGAAGTTTGATGTATGTTCAGGTAATTAGACTCAAGAACAACAGCTTTTGTGCTTACACAAACGCAACTGGTAGTTGAATTTTACTTGTAAATAATGTTAAAATTTTGTCACGCTGACGTCAGACTTAAAGGACCTTCTGTTTACGATGTGAACGAAAATGGAGCGAGAACAAAAGAGCAACAAGTCCCTGTGAAAAACTAACAACAAGTTGTTATTTACGCCTCGGCTCGCCGGGCAACGGAAAAGTAATTTTGATTGACGTTCTAATATAGTAGTGCCATCTATTTGTTGTCGAGTAAAACGTTACTGTTAACAAAAAAATATTTACCATTATTTTTCTCTACATTTTGAGGCAACAAGTAGTTCAGCTCTTCAAACAAATAACATTTAAGTGCTCGTCAAACTAGGGAACAAGGCAATCTATGAGTTTCTCTAAGTTTTATCGACGTAATGTGTATTCAATGTCAGTCTTTCGGAATTCAATTACGGACATTGACATTTTTGTATGAACTTTTTTTGAATAGCAACTGTCATGGGATATACTAAATTTATTAAAAGTAACGACAATTGTTAATGTACTGAGAAAAGCTCAACTAGTTTTAAGTTACAACGGGACTCTTAAACATTTATGAGCAGCATGCGCGTCGCCGCGGTGTCGTGCATCCAACTTAAAACTAGCATTCATTTGATTGTAGCGTGATGTTTTAGAGTCTATAGCACTCAGGAACATTGTAGCTATGTATCAGTGAAAGAATTTTGGCAGTCCGACCAGCAGTTCCAAAGATTACCCCCTACATACAAACTTACAAACATACATACTTACAAATTTTACCTCTTTATAATACTTTTTTGTATAGATAAGAGTCAAGAAGTAAGATAACCATTCAAGGTTTTCTTTTAAAAGGTCTACGTTTACTGAATGGATTAAATATGTATGTACAGCCATATTGCAGTTACGGCACCGGTAGCAGCTGAATGACCAGTTTGGAACTTATGTCATGAGATCATCTAATTTCACGACTTTACTGACTGTACCGTAGGACAGATCGCTTCAGAAAACTTAAAAGTAATACACTTTATGAGCTATAAGTTTAATATTCGGACTCAGTTTCTCCTCTTTAATAACATTCGTCACGTTTTGTAGTGCCTTGTGGACTCCAAAATTATCATTGGTGTCGACAACGGATATTGGGTTTAGTAGATTACAAGACTGACCTAAAAAGAATAAAGAAAATGTGCTTGTGTCCTCAACCCTGTAGTAAGTGCCACGGCGTCGTTTGTTTGTTTTATGGGTTGAAGAAAACATTGGTGAAATGGACCTCGCTTTAAATAAAACCTATGGTGCATTACCTACTTTTGCTAGCCCAACGGACAAATCTTGTATTGATATACTTTCTAGTACAGGCGAATTTGAGATAGATAGATTGATCAGATAGAGATATGAATAGAAAGCTTGTCCTTCCAGACGCCTTGTGTAGTGATCGTATATGAACTTAGTTCAACAGTATCTAAGGGTCCAACAAATGGTAATGATAATGTTAGATACAAAACAAAAGGGCGGGGTTTGGAGCACTCGTTTTATATCTCAACCCGCAATAATATACCTATTATACCGGCCGCCTTGGCCGGGAGCAGCAGGAGAAACGGGGATTTTTGTGAGAGAAGCCATTTGATGATTCTTCTCCCACTACAAGAAGCCAGAGAATTCACTGAGACCTATCAGCGGAGGAAGGTGCTGAAATCAAATATAAGTATAGCTTTATAAGTATGGTTCTGAATAAGTCATCTAGCTAATGTTCTGATTGGTTTCAATTACCGGTTAGTAAGCATTTAGTATTGATCTGACCACTTATATTAAAAGCAATATTAGTTCAAAGGTAGATCGCCAACGTTTTAAAGATTATTTATTCATTGCGTTCGTAATTTTCTTTGTAATCTGTTGTCAATGCGGTAGTTAGTTAAATCGATTTTAAAGTGGTCCCCTCTAGTTGTTATAAACGGTATTGAATTTTCTTTTTGTGAAAAATTGTAGTAGCGTGTAGCGTACAAAGTGATTTAAGGCAATTTCTATTGGAATTCTTATTCTCGGATGACAGTGTGGTTACAGAGTCTTTAGAAATAAGTAGTTATCTGACATTTTGTCGAATAAGTTCAGGATTTTTGGTATAATAAGATAGTTCCTACTGATATTCTATGTATTATATAATAAATTGAATAATTTATAAAGTGAACTGAATTAGCTGCCACATTTTAATGCCTAAAGTTTGACTGGGACAATTGCCTGTAGGTACAGATTTTTGTATAAAAAATAAAAATGGTAGTATGACTGCATCGATTCATTCGGTTGCCGTAGCTGACTGTGGTGTGATTCCCGGATGGAACAACTCTTTGTGTGATCTATAAATTGTTGTTGCGTGTCTGGGATGATCTCTGACTTTTTATGCTAATCTACTACAAGAGAAAATTGAAGAGGGCAGCAATGGCTTATTACAAAGTCATACCAGTTTATAAAAGCAGATTCAAATTCGAAATTAATTATTTACATTTGAATTATCCTTCATGCGCCAACTGTGTACTTATAGAAAAATTGATTCATTCCAGTTGCAAAAATATTCCTTATAAAAAACCTTTCTTATGGTTTTCGTTGTATTCAAGTTTAGATGTTAGTAAAAACAATGGGTGCCTTTTGGGACTTCCATTTCAAGTAGGAGAAATTTTGTGAAAACAATTCCATTAATTCTTTGTTTAGCAAAATGTGGGAAAGAAAATAAAAGATTTTTGTAACTAAAGAAGCTGTTGTTACCTATGTACGCTTCATTAAGGTACCTTCCAAAGGCGTACTGTTTCAAACGTTACAAAACAAAGCCCGGTATAACGCGAAACTATAAGAGTATTTCTCAAACATTTCACCTGCAAAAGCCGTGCGTTTCTATTAATTTAAACATGTTTCTCTCTACAGTTGTAACTCAAAAATTCCGTTCCCGATCTCTAGAGCTGATTGGTTTTCGACAAACCGTGTCTGTGAGCTTGTTCCAGTTGCAACGTATAGAGTTGCAAATTTTAAAAACTACAGAGTCTGTTTTCAGAATGTCTGTTGTTATGTTTTAATTATTTGAACTAAACTAGACTGTTCATTCCCAGGCTTCTTTTAATAACCATCCTAAAGATTGTTCTAAAGAAATCATCCTGTGTGATGAGACTATCCATGGTACACCCTATTTCTTCTTTTTCTCAATGGGATTGGTCGGCAAACAAGCTTTTGAATTACCTGATGGTAAGCAACCGGCGCCGCCATGGACACTCGCAAAGTTACGAGTGCGTTGCCGGCTGTTTGGGGATTATGGATATTTAAGGATAGGGAATAGGGAGAGGGGGAGGGATGAGGCCTCCGGTATCCTCACTCACACGGCAAAACATAGCGTTGTGGTTATTTCAGTGTTTAAAATTTTATAGGTCTTCTGTGTTGATTATACAGTATGTATAATAAAGTATTATGTAAATTAATATATAAGTCTATTTATGATGCTAAATAGGGATAGTATGGCAGTTGTCTATTACATATACATACATGTAACTATCAGTCTACGTACGCTGTATACGCGATTACTCACGTCATATTAAAATTAATATGAATTACAAAGGATGAAGATTCAGAATCCCGCCTAGTAAATCTAGGTTTGTGTCTATTTGTTTTACTGAGTATCATAATTAATCGACATCTTTTATTATGCGGTTGTTGTCGAAGATTTTTTCTTTTTCGAACAACCTATATGGCTAAATATTAGTCGATTAAATATTAGTGTAGTGTTACACTGAACCGACTAAATGATGTAACAAAGAAATTAATTGTGAAACTGATTGAAAAGAATAACCATGGAGTTTTACTCGTCCTTGCCCATAGTACCTATCTACACTTTGAAAAGAGCCAATAGCTTCACTAAGTATAGGAAAGACCGACTGACAAAGTTGAACATTTCGATGTTGACTTTTTTGATTGACGTGTTGAAGTGTATGTTTAAAGTAAAGGGTTTGACGTTGACTTTGACTTAGAAGCATTTTTGCATTCTCGGGCGACATTTTTGTAGATATAAAGTCCCCTTCTCTTGCTCTGGTCCAAGGCGGGGCGATAAAAATATTAGTTTTTTTTAAAACGTTTGTGAGAGTATGCTTGTCAAATAGTTATTTACAATATGATTGAGGTAAGAGCAGAGACGATGGGGGTTTAAATCAACAGGTACTCTATTACTAAGATTCCGCTGTCCGTCCATCTGTCTGTCTGTCATCAGGCTGTATCCCATGAACTTTGATAACTAGACAGTTGAAATTTGAACGGATGACCTATTTCTGATGTCACTGTAAATACAAAAAACAGTAAGAAAAAGTAATCTATTTTTAAGAAAGGCTTCCATACAGTTAACCTTCAAAATTCTTCAACGTACTTAACCGGTTTTTGATAGACTGTCACGTCTAGAAGCTTTACTTATAATTCATGTAACAAAATATTTATTTATTTATACTTCATGCACAATATTGTATGTACATTAGGCGGACTTAATGCATTGAGCATCTCTACCAGTCGAAATATATTTTATTTAAAAATATCTGTCATGGCCGTGGTGCATTTTTGCACCTTTAACTTATTTATCATACCCTTACATTCTGCTAACAAAGACAAAGACGACAAAAAACAATTAACGAAATCGGTTCAACTGTTCTTGACGTTTGGACTTAGCAACAAAACCGATTTAATTTTACATTATAGACAGATAGATTTCAATATGAAAAGTAACATTTCGTGTCAAGTTTCGGTATTAAATCTCCGACGCAAATTCCCCGCCATTTGACGGAATAAAGGGCTACCCTAACACAATTTACAACATTAGCCGTCTATAAGTATTGTAATTTGCAAGACTTTTCCTTACAAATTCGATCTTTAGGAGTTCAAAGGGAATTATGTTTCGTCCAACATTGCTTCGGGACAGCTACTAACGAACGTAATTATTCTTAGAGTCCGTCAAGAACGTGATTTGTATACAAAATGTTGAGGAGACAATGTAAACAATATAACAGGATCACAGAGATCGTTTTTCATAACAATTGTCTACACAAGACAGCTCAGCGACAGAGAACTGAGAGGAAAAATTTCTTCCTTAAATAAAAATGAAGCAACGGATGATATAATGACAAAATCGTGTGGTGAATATTTCACGAAAATATGTAGGTAAAATGTTTAAAAACATTTTTACAGTTCACAACACAACTTTTGAAATGTGGAAATAGAATAGCCCGTCAGTCAGTTCATTAAATAAGCAAGGTGCTCGAAAGAACGAGTAAGAAACTTTCTGACTGTTCAAATTGTACCTATTGTAACGTGTCAGACTATAAGTGCTTACTGCTAAGCAAAGACCTCTTCGTACTTGAAGAAGGTTGGAGTATCACCATGATCGCTCCCATCATTTGACTACCTACATTATCCAACCCAGTTACCTATCTACACTATCTATCCTACATTACCTACCCTACCTTCTCTACCCTACTTCTTTCTTCTGGTTCTAAATTCCATCCATTCTCAGCAAAATCGATATAGATTTCTGTTACATAACTAGAAAATTTATTAAATCCATTTCTCGTGAAAATATCTAAGGCTCACAATAACTTCATTCCGATTGAATACACTCAGAACGCTAGAAAATATTTCCGTCGGTCATAGAAAGCGTGAATTCAAATCCTGCAAACGGATAAGTATTCAATTCTAGCTCATATTTTCCATTCTAAATTATGAATGCTAAACGACTGAAAGGTATGACTTGTTAGGTATGCGAGTACTAAAGTTCTATTTTTGAATGCGGTAAAACGCTTACCGAAATCTACATTTTGACGAATTTCAACCATCTTTTTTAGAACATTTTTCAATAGACTACCTTTGCGAATATGAGACTCATTCTCATTTATTTTCTCGCCCTGTCGTTTCTTATCCAGCTCCAGGCCATTAATTACGTTTGCACCCGTAAACAAGGGTGCTTTTCCAACAATAGCTTCTCAGAACAGCAGCGTGATACAATTTTTGGGCTGTGTTATTGTACATTATAGGCTATGTGCAAAGCGAGTAGTGGCGGACAGATAACGACCGCAGCGCACAACACGGCAGAAATTGGAGACAAATGCGGATGAGCTGTTACTTTTAATTATTATATTCATTTTACAAGTAGGTACTGTTGAATAAATTGCACTTAAATAATGTCAACAAAACTATTTAAACATTTGTTTTATTTATATTTGTAAAGCAAAATTTGAATGTTTACCTAGTTATTATTTGACAGCTTCCGCAAATGTTGTAAACGCTACACGTCACCACAGTCGCGCACGTAGCCAATACTGCTGACTACTTTACTACTTTTAGACTCAAATAAATAAATAATAACTAGTGCTAAATTAATTATTATGTAGAACTACTAACTAGGCGAGGAACTCGACTAGTTTCAAGCCGGGACTAAACAACGAATGTTTACTTTTTGTTAAGTGCTCGTGCGTAACCTATACATAATATTGTCATGCAAGTCAAATGTTGCTTCAAATAAATTATAATAATGCAATATGGTAGGAACTCGCATCGCGGAAATGGGGCTTAAGAAATAGTAAATATAGGTAATTTTAATAATCCTACTCAGACACTAAATATAAAACTTGCCTCTAGATATGGTCTACAAAAATCAGAATACGGTAGCTGAAATGTGTGATTTTATCATTCCAAGTCTCTGATGGGACATAAATCGCTGTTCCAATTTCTCTACGTAAAAGTATATAGGCATCCGTTTTATTTCGTAAAGTAAATATGCTGTGCAAACTGCGTCCAGGCACGTAGCACCTGTAGGTAGCACCCGCGAACACAGTGCTCACAACGCGCTCAGTTGTGGGCAAAATCACGTACAACGGCTTTCCTGGTGGCCATAAAATAATATCGGTTATTCAAACTGAGTACATGATCACTCTAGCCCTTAAATAGTGCTTAAATAATGCGTTCAAATAGAACTGGACGTTTGCTACCATTGTTTTTTTTTTGTGGAATAATTTTATGTTGGCCCTAACCTAACGTAGTTTGAATTGTCTTTGTATTTTCTTCTTGTAACCTCCCTGACACGGCGGAATGTTGTTTCACGCTAGTGTTCTGCCAAATTGTAGTATTATTTTCTTTCGAGACAGCTTTTTCCTGCCGAAGCAAGGTTCTTTCGCACTTAAATAAACTTAGAAACAATATTTAATAATTTGGATTTTGGAAATTTCGGCTTCAAGCTCTGAAATTGGAACATTATTGGATGTGGTGGGAGTCACAATTAAATGTATTATTTTCCATTTTTACAATAAAGTCTGATTTATTTTAATTATTTTATAATTTAAAAAAACTTTACCCTTACTCTAGGATTTTCTCCTGTGTCGTGGGTGCGTTTACAAACATACAATTTCACACACCTAGACCTGGAACAACAACTTGTAGATCACACATAGAGTTTTTCCGTGCGGGAATCGAACCTGCGACACGTTGCGCGGCAGCCAGTTGCCCAGCCACCGCACCAACCAGTCATGACAAGATAATGATCCCCTCTTTTTACAAGCCTCTATTGAACAGCTTGTAGGCACTCACTGCTTAACCAATAGGGTCCTATACTTTCAATGAGTGAGTCAAACTCGAAAAGCCTACTTTGGCACTCATGCTTCCGACAACAAGCTACTTCACAGATTCAGCCAAGAAATATGTCTCCTTCAATATTAGTAGTTTATGACAAGACCGTCTAAACACACAATAATACCAGTGTTAATTAATAGAACAAACATTTGCGCAATTAATTAACTCGAATATATTTATTATTCAAACCGAGCTATCTTATATTTACTCTGGCTGCTTCTTTAGACGATTCTAAAGCGAGAGACCCAAAATTGCATGCTTATTTACAGTGAAAATGTTCAGGAATATTTTACTCATGCCAAAACATATTGTATCTCTCAATAATAAATTTCATTTTAGATAGATGTGTTTCATTCAGAAATTAGCTGTATATTTTTTATAAATTTTTAAAGACAGAAATTTTGTCTTCGGCTCGGCAGATGTATGATACAGTATAGGTATAAATATTGTATACTAGCAGACCGCCCCTGCTTCGCACGGGTATCTGACACAAATGACTGACACCAGGGTATGGAGTCAGTCATTTGTTTTGCAAGCGAACGGCTAGGGCGTCGAAAGGGTTATTAATTCCCGCTATTCCCCTTTATTTTTCTAAAGTTTTCCTTCGTAAGAACCTTCTCCTGACAATATCAACAAAAAAGAATTAGCAAAATTGGTCCAGGCGTTGCTGAGTTATGCGCTTACCAACACATTTGGCCATCCATTTTTATATATTGTATATAATGGATTTCTTTTTTTTTCATTATACTGATCTTTTCTCTCTGGCTCGTTTAATATAGAATGAATCAAACCAATTTAACTTACTGTTTCATGTTATTAATGGTCCATGACCTTGTAACGATGTAATTCGTCAAAAACTTTTTTCTGTATGAATTAAGATACTTATATTAGGTTTTAATTGATAGAACATTGCGTCATTTATAGTCGTCTAATTAGTGTACAACATTCGAAAAGGTTGGTTTGTTTATTTACTTTTCTAATCAATTTATTTTGTCCACAGCGCTTCGAATGGGTGGTCGTCCGCCCCATAGATCCAGGGGAGGTGGTGACCCTTCACCTGTTGACTCGAGTCCGTTGGGGCGCGCCCCGAGTACTCGGCGTCTACCGCCTCGGCCTTCAGATTGTGGTCACAGATGGCCAAATATCCGTAACAGACACACTCGTCGATGAAAGAAACAAACCAGTACCGGTAAGTACGCTTATCATTGACTAGCTGTTTAGCACAGTTTCACCAGCGTCCCGAGGGAATTACTTCCCGAACACAATTAATATATGACCTATAGCAACATTGTAACTATCTAACTGTGAAAGAATTTTGGCAATCCGATCAGGCCGAGTGCCTAAAAACTTCAAATTTTACCTCATCATAATCTAAGTATATATAGGTAGATATAAAGACTGTTTTTATGAACCCAAAGCTTCTTATGAATTTAAAACTCAACGTGTTACAATTTGAATTTAGGTAAAAGCAACGTTTAGACATTCTGAAACGAATGAAGATATACGAAATTAATGTTTATTCAAGACTTTCAACAAACAGCCAAAAATAGGACTTGAATACATTCATGAAATCCAGCACATTTAGTACAATGTAAGATGTAAATATGGCCAAAGTTATGAATATTTTTGGTTCACGTTTTCCCTACATTAAAAACGGCGGTAGGATGACGTCAAGCGATGTCCATTAAAATAAGTAATCCTGTGGTGCGTGCCTTCCATATTTCCATTAATAAATGGTGGAGATGAGGTTGGTCATAATTAACACACACCACGACCTTTTCCCATTATAGTTTCGGTCAGCTCTGAACTCTGAATAGATTGTTCTGGAAGTCTATTTGACGGTAATCTGTATTGGTCCATCTGCTAGAAGGACTTGGCTGTATACCTAGTATTTTATAACCCTCAATACTTAGTAACTACGTAATGCGCGGTAATTGTACGTTTGCTGCAGTCATAGTCAGTTGGGCATACACTAATGTTCTAATTACAATTGCCATTGTTAGCCGTTATTTTTATAGTTTTGATATGATTGGACGATATTTACGACCCAACATAATACCTGATAGTTGGCAATTAGTGCCATCCATGGACACCTGTAACTCCAGAGGGTGTTGTAGGCACTTATTGCGTTACGAGTATGTTGCTGCTCTTTCGCGGATTAGGATTTAGGAGATTTGGGGATTGGAAGAGGATTGGGCTTGCGGTTATCTCACTCACACGGCGAAACACAATGCAATGGTTGTTCATGGCTGTTTTTGTGTTCAAGAACAAACATTGCATTGTGTTTCGACTATCCATTCGGCCATTCTTGCTGGCTCTTCAAACATGGCTCTCCCACACTTTGTTGTACAAGATATCTCTCAGGTAGGTCTTTCCTCCCATCGTATTTCTTAGAGTGAGGTAACAGAGTTTGCACCTACATTCATACTCCTATACTATAATATCTCCTGCGTAGTGAGCTAATCTAGTTACACAGACTGGCCGTCATGATCAGAATCGATCGGCTTTATTCACTTATGACATTATGAGCTATTGATTAATGTTCTATCACATTGGTTTCGATTAATAAAACTGAAGATCTACACAGGACATGTATGTACGTATGTATAACTGTCCTTTTAAATATTTCTGCCTTGCTAAAACGTCAATTGTTAGTTCAAAACTTTGAGTTTACGATTTACATATTGGAATAGGGCCTGAATGCCTTTTGTCCAAGGGAGGTGGCACAATAATAACTCGTTACCTAGGACTATATCGCCTATAATAGTAGCAATACTCATCTTTAGCCTGTATCCGACCAGAAATCTCCGACTCTTTCTAACCCTCATTAGGCTGGCAACGGACTCGTAACTACTCTGATCTTTTCTAGGAACAGGAGTGACATCAATTGGTTACCATCAGGTAATCGACCTGCTTTTTTGCCGATATATCACATAAAAAAGCCAGATGGTCAGTCTATGTTTACAAATTTCTTAAATCAAATGCGACCTCCGTAACTTGTCGTCAGATCTTGCAAGACCCGTGCCCATATCCCACGAGAAGCTGGAAGAAATAAATATTTCATCGCATCTTTTATTTATAAGCGAACCCGGATGAAATGTTACTATATCTCATGGACCCTCATCTTGGAACTGATTGAATTATTTTATGAAATTCTGAGACCGGTTTAGGCATTGTTTATTAATATACGAATTTAATAATAACTGCAGCAGTTCTTGCTTCGTTGGTCGAGTGAACAGTAAAGCGAATACATGATAAAAAGTTTTAGATACAATTTTGTTACGATATTAAGATAAAAAACTGCTTGCTTGGCGTAATGAAAGGACAACGAGCTACTGCGCAATGTGTCGCGGGATCCATTTTCGTACGGAACAACTTTTTGTGGGATTCACAAATAGTTGTTCTGGGTTTGGGAATCATGAAATTGTGAGATACTGTTTACTTATTTATTTCATTTCTATGCAAGATGAAATTACATAGACTGACTTAATGCCATAGGCAGTCTTACTAGTCAACCATAGAGTGATGCAGAGAGAGCATGGTAGGTGCAAGAAGAAGAAAAGTTGGAGACGATAAATTTAGATTACAAATTACAACTTAAATATGAACAAGTATATATTATAAGTATGTAGAAGTAAAGCTAATAAATAAATATATACGACATACCTATATACTCAATATAAATAATGTACAAGTATTATACTTTTCAGTTTTTCTAAAAAAGAACAGTTGAAAGAAGGCCTATAATTGCGCCCTTATTACGTGGGAATAAGATACATAAACGTCTACTACAATAATGCCTATCCTCTGCCTCATATATTTAATCTGAATCTTCTATATAATATTTAAATTGTTGTATAAACAAGTATGTTCTTTACAAAATATTTTCTCATTCGTATTTCTTATTTCATAAAATGTTATCACATCAAAAGCTGGGGCATTAACTTAGGCAGGTACGACTTTTTGCTCCGAAATTACAAAAAGAATATTTAATGTTTAATTTATAAAACACGTTTTACCTTAGAATTTGCGTGTCATTTAGTTAGTAATCCAAAGGAGGCGTTACAAAGAAATATTTTAATATTTGATTATGTGGGGAGTCACATAGACATTTAGCGATAATAATCAAAATGTTGACGTCACGAATCCTACATCATACAACATAAAAATCTCATCATCATCATCGGCCTATAAGTGTCCACTGCTGAGCAAAGGCCTATTCTCACACGGAGAAGGTTTGAGCATTAATCATCCCGCTTGCTCAAGGCGGATTGGCGATTAACCTTATAATTAGAAGTTATAAGTCCAGGTTTCATCACGATGTTTTCCTTCATCGAATGTCAGTGTCTAAATAATCATAGAAAGTACATATAACTCGGAAAATGTCACACTAGTTCTTGTCAGGTTTCTAGAACTACAAGAAAAATCTACGGACGATTGAACATGGATAGTACATTCCAACTTACAACCCTTGGGCAGTAAGCCTGCCAGATATCACCTCGCTTTTTTTATGTAATAGGTCGGCAAACGAGCAGTCGAATTACTTGATGGTAAGCAATCAGCGCCGCCCATGGACACTAGCAACGGTACAGTTACGAGTGCGTTGCCGACCTTTTAAGGATTAGGATTTAGGTGATTCAGAGATTAAGGAGGGATTGGGGGAGGTGAAGGATTGGGCCTCCGGTAACCTCACTCACACGGCGAATCACAACGCTGTAGTTGTCTCACGCCGGTTTTCTGTGAGGCCGTGGCATCACTCCGGTCGAGTTGACCCGTTCGTGCCAAAGCATGGCTCTCCCACACTTAAATGCTCCGCTTGGTTGAAGGATCCCCCCTTTTCTTGCAGATTTTAATTCCTTGTTCGTCACACCTAAAGATATCATAAAATAAAACCTTCTTGTTAAAGTCGTAACAGTAATGCTATTCTACTCACAGTTTTATTTACTTTGATAAGTAGGTAAAGTCACAATTCGTCTTCAGACGTTTTAAATCATAGTTTTTATTGTAGTTTTACGTTGGCTATTACATTTTACTATCGTCTCTTATACTTAGTAATTTATTGTCTATCTTAGGCTTGGTGAGTGACGACGGCACGACACGACAGGGTAAAATAATAATTATTCCGCGCGTGCCTCAAAGAGACTATGGACTACCACAGACGGGGCCCTAGTCACCGCGGCCTCGGGTCAGAGCAGGAGAAGGAACGGGGGGGGGGGGGGGGAAGAGTCTGACACTCTCTCTCGCCTAACACTGGGCGGGAGAAGTCATTTGATGATTTACCCCTGACAAAAAAAAGGGTAAAATAATTATGAAAGAGATTGATATACTTATACAGCCTTCACTAGATGACTGACCGACAGACTGATAATTTTGAGCTATTTTGTTTGACGATTAAAAGTGCTCTATAGTTTTATCAGTGAAATAAATGATTTGAATTTAATTATATTCTACTAACGACCTGCCCCGGCTTCGCACAAGTGCAATACCGATACTAAATTTCTTCACCACTTAATGTATATTATCTTATAATATGGACGCTTCAATCACTACATCTATAAAAACACTTCACAATCCGTTGCGTACTTTTAAAGATTTAAGCGTACATGGGGACATATAGACAGAGAAAACGACTTTGTTTTTTTATTATGTATGGATTCAATCAATGATATGATTTTTTTGTGCGAGGAAATCTTCAAAATTTCTTCAAAAAAGCCGACCGTTGCTTCTCACTCCTGGACCGAGGCCGCGGTGCCTCATTGTGTTTGCCCCGCAACCTCGGCTGATAAGTTCTGTATCGCTACTGTTCTGACATTTCGAGTATTAGAATAATTCCGCCAATGAACAAACCTCAACTATTTTAGATTAAAGTTTATATCATCGTGTCTGTCCTTCAGACAACATAGTCTGGTTTAATCACTCATAGCAGCTGTGAATGTGTGTGTGTGTGAAATGACATAGGCTATTGAGATTTGGGACTACATAATATCAAGCCTGTTTGTTGAAAAGACTGAAAGTCTAGGGGAGTCGCTTCTAAGCTCCATATTCCATTGTAATGTAGTAGAAATGAGCGTCGAGCGTTGAGCTCTCGGTCGACGTTATTATGCGTTCGTGAGCCTTACAACTCGGCCTTCAATGCTCATTGCAGTAGTTGCGCGCTCAAACTTCTAATGCTCTAATTTTTAGGGGTTCTTTTTTGTTAGGGGAAAATCATCAAATGATTTCTCCCGCCCAGGGTCGGGTGAGATGATCCAGTCATGGCCCCTGCGCAAGAATGACACGCAAAATCATGAAGCGTTCCACATTTTTTAGACCCAGACCCAACTGTACGGCGCATAGCGTTCCGCGCGCGCCTCAAAGAACCAATAGACCACAACAGACGGGGCCCTATAGGGCTGATGTTCAGCCGGGTTGCAGGGTAAGCGCAATGAGGCACCGCGACCTCGGCCCAGAGCAGGAGATGGAACGCGAGGGGGGGGATTAGTCAGTAAGAGTCTGACACTCCCTCCCGCCCAGGGTGGGGCGTTCCCCTCACAAAAAATAATAATAAATTAAGCCCACCAAGGACATACCATGACCACGACCACTCTGACAAGAGTGTACGATTGAAACGAACGAACCTATCTATTTTGTTTAATAACCGCAGGGCACCTTGAGGCGAGGTGACGGGAATTAGCGATCCCGCGGGCTACCATCATCCCGATTGCTCCAGGGAGAAGTCACCGTTCCTCATCTCCGGCTTGCCTTCATTGGCTGGCCGAAGTGGACGATGACGAGGAACAGGTCTCCCACCTCTGGCTTGCCTTCATTGGCCGTCCAGAGTGGAGTCGCGAGAGTAGTGATCCTGCTCGGAGGGTGGAAGCTGTTCGTAAGCGGCGAGTGGGCCAGTGATGCAGGATGCTTAGGCAGATGCAGATGATCTGAGTAGAAAGCTGGTGGCAGTTTCTTCACCCTTCAGCCACTCACATTTCCGTTGTCCCTCTGTTGCTATTACTAGCAACCATTCCCGGGGGCCCGGTCGGTGAGTTGGCGAGTCTCCACCTGCCATTTTTACGTGTATTTATTACATTGTTTCGGCAGGTGCCATAGTCCTTCCATAGTTCCCATCATACCAGTCCATAACAACCCACACCCATAGTCTTATCCCTTGTTTCCATTATCCGCAATAGTCCTACACTAACCGGAGACTGTCCTTGGGTGCATTTCCATACTGCATACAGGGATAGTCGCCGGTTAGTGTCCCATTTCATTTAGATTAAAGTTGTCTAAAGGGCCTCTGCGCAGTTGGCTCCGGCCCCTCGTACGCCTTCCAAATGACCGGGACCCTGTGGTCCCGTGATTGGTAAAGACATACAAATAATAATAATAATAAATACACTTTATTGTACACCAAAAGAGTTGACATGCATAGTACAAAATGAGTGAATCCAAAGTACTGGGTACAAAGGCGGCCTTATCGCTAAAAGCGATCTCTACCAGGCAACCTTTAGGTGGACGGAGTATTGTAGAAGTGGGTGGCAGTCTAGGTGTAACAATAGAATTAAAAACATTAACAAGCTATATACAATATTCATGCATACATACATACATACACACATACTTACACATACATACATACATATATACATACATACATATATACATACATACATACATACATACATACATACATACATCAAAGATATACCTAACTATAATTATAGCGTGGCCAGATAATGTTCTTTCACGAGCGATTTGAAAGTGACAAGGGACTGTGCTTGTCTAATGGAGACTGGTAGAGCATTCCACAGTCGAACAGCTTGAACCGAAAAGGATTTGTCAAAGCACCTGCTCTCGTGCTGGGGCATCTCAAGCCTCAACCTCTCCGACGACCTTATTGGTCGAGAATGTGTGTCATGGTGGAACTTGAAACGTTCTTTAAGGTAAAAAGGGGTTGCAGGATTAAACAGTATATTGTATAAAAGGGATAATATATGAGTATTCCGGCGAAGGCGGATCGGCAGCCACTTGAGTTTTGCACGATATTCAGAAATATGGTCATATTTGCGTAATCCAAATATGAACCTGATGCAGAAATTTTGGAGTCGCTCAAGTTTATTTAACTGCATTTCGGTAAGATCTGGATAGCTGGCATCTGCATAATCAAGGATGGGAAGGAGAAGTGATTGGGCAAGCGCAATTTTAGTGGCTGTTGGAAGAAAATTTCGAAGTCTACGCAACGACTTAGCAGACGCAAACATTTTCCGACTGACGTGCCCCAGTTGAGGTCCCCAAGAAAAGTCTCGGTTTAAGTATTTTTTTAAACAAGGCAGCGATATTGGGACCCTATATTTACTTTTATCGGCCCGGAAACGCTAGATGAGATAAAAACTTACTAGAACTATTTGACAACAAACTAACCTAACCAAACTAATAGGGGGTGGCCTGTAGGTTTTTTGAGGGCAGAGGGGTATATTCATGATTCTAATTATCTGGATTATAATATCAAATTATTGTCCAAATGACAGTAAATTTATGTAAGCAACAAATAAGAAACATTTTCTGAAATAGATTTCGAAAAAATCACATTTTGTATCAAGGTAATTATGGTCCCTACGGCCATGTAATAGTTTTCCACCCCATGACGTCGGGTTAATAAACTGATTTGTTTTTCACACCGTATTTTGTAAAGAATCGTTCTCAAGCTCGACTCGAGCACTCGGCTTTATTTGTTGAAATTTTTTTTCAATGCTTTATCCCATGTTTCAGCGTTTTCGAGAACCAACTCGAGCGTTTTTATTGAACTGCTCTAGTTGTGATTTACACTTCTCGATTATATATTATATATTATATAAATTTTACTTACTCAGTTCATGAATTTGAATCGGCCAACTGCCACCATCTTGCACACTTATAAATCAATATGCTATGAACTTTTAATTTGCATAGCATGGGAGAGCCAAGCTTCAGCATGAATGGGTCAGCTCGACTGGAATGATACAATGACAGAGTTTTGTTTCTCTCCACGTCCCTTCCCAATCTTTAAATTACCGAAACCCTTATACCCAAAAGGCCGGCAACACACTCGTAACTCCTTTGGTGAAGCGGGTGTCCATGGACGGCATCAATTGCTTACCATCAGGCAATGCCTCTGCTCGTTTGCCGAACTATCCCATAAAAAAGAATAAATAGGTGAATTGCGTTCAAAATAATATGGTGAGCTACAGTAATAAGCCGCAGTTCCCGAGTGTAATCTGAAAGAACACAACCTAATGAACGTAGTAGGTATGTAAGTACGTGTAGTAACATATCCTCTACAAAATTCATAGAGACTGGGAGACTTCATTGGGGGACTGAATGACTGAGATTTTTATCTATTCTGTTTGATGTTTAAAAGTGTTTTATATGACCATAAGTGATTTGACTGTGACTATAATTATTTTATTTATTTTTAAACTGATATAATGTGGTTAGATAATCATAGTTAATGGAATGGTGACATTTAACGTATTTATCCGATTTGAGGCAAAGCTATGCTATGAAGCTAGTTTTAACAAGCCTCATGCACTTTTAAACTTTAAGATAAAAACAAATGAAGTTTAAAATCCAAAAACAAAATTTGAGAGAAAAGGACCTGCTTTAATAGGCTACCGGCGGATCGGAAACGTGATATCCGTTCACATAGATATCATAGCAAGTGCTATGTAAAGCTAGTGACTATTGAAGTACATATAGGTTGCGATATAGAAACAGCAAAACGCAGAGGTCAGCTAGATCCGGGCGTCAGGTATCGAGCGACGATCTCCGGCCACCCATAATTGCGGTTCTGCGGACGGCGAGCAAGGATAGCTAGCCCGACCAGAACCTGAACGAACAGGGGCTGCAAGACCAGCGCAATAAGATGGCCGTGACCTCGGCCTGGAACTAAACAAGGAACAGTGTAGTTCTTAGTCAGTAAGAGTCTTACACTCTCGTCTTAACCCGGACGAGAGAAGTCATTTGATAAATTTCTAAACTAAAAAAAGCTAGGTATATCGACGTTTAATTTCAACGTACCTACCTACATTGGACTTATCTCTTATCTCTATCTTTTAAAATTAATATTAATAATTATAGGTACTTAGTTATTTTACATGCTTTTGTTTAAAGTCTGCAACAGATTGGTTTGATATTTTGTACACAAGTTTAGATTTC